AGATAGACAGGAAAGGGGGGTAGAGAGAGAGAGGGGATGACACGCAGCAAAGGGCCGCAGGTCGGACTCAAACCCAGGCCGCTGCGTATATTGGTCGCCAGCTCTACTGACTGAGCTAACCGGGCCCCCTTTATTTTGTTGTTTTACTCATGAATGGAGATGCTGTTTGGTTGATCCATCAAACTCCTGGCAATCACCACCATGAAGTTTGGTCCACATGATAAACTCCAGAAAAGAAATCACAGTTTTCAGCCTCAAAGTTCATTCCTAACCTTGGAAACCAGAGTTGACAAAGTAATCTCACAAAAGGTCCATTTAGCAGCTGTTCTGGAGCTTTTGAACATATCGCATGATCTCGAGTTTTACCAGTCATGAAATTGTAGTTTCCATTGGTGGTGAGTTTATTTTGTCAATAAATCCTAATGACTTTAGTGAGACCACAACTTTTCTTCTAATAATGAGCCAAAAATGTCCACAAAATATTCTACTTTGTTACTGTTATAATGTTATATTTCTGATGACGGTGGTGAATCTTTATTGGAATCTATTTATTATCTATTAAACATTTAGGATGCTGCTGGTTTGACTCTCACCCTCAACATGTTGAGTCTTATGTGAAGTTTCCTCATAAACCTTTTGCTGTGGCTCTTTTTCTTTTCTTTCACATGCTGGTATGTAGTGCAGCACCTGTTAAAGATGGAGTCAAACAAGGAAATCAATAGTTTTAAAATAAAACACCAAAGGCCTCTCTGGACTGTCTGTGGATTTTTACCCTGAGGAAGTTGTGAATGGTCTGAGCAGAGCGCAGATGGCAGACCAGCCACCGCAGGTAAATGACCACATCATCCTGAGTGAGCAGGTTTGAGGGGTTTTCTCGGCCGGTCAGGATCTTCTCTCTGCACGCCGATAGTCTGCGAGCTCTCTGAACGGCATCCTCGTACTCACTTGTCAAATATGACACCTGATCCTAAGGGAGAAAAAGGTCTGATGTGATCTGGTGAAGACGAATAAGCTAGAAATCAGATCAAAAGATTATTAATGACCAGAAAGCCGTCAAGGTAGAGAAAGATAAGAGATTATCCTGCAAAAATGTATTTTAGTATGTTTACATATTTGCCAAAAGAGCTATGAAAGCTTTATATAAGCTGTAGGTAGCAGTGAAGGTTCTGTTCAGTTTTCTTTACTTCAAGCAGATAAGCTTGTTCTTTGTCATTAATCTTTTTGTTATTCCAGCACAACTTTCATATTTATAGAAGCCAGGAGACAGAAGAAAAAACTGCCTTTGTTGTATTTTAATTAAGAATTAAGAATTAATTGGATTTCTTTCCACTGGTGCAATTATTAAAGTGCCAAAAATTTATATTGCTACTATTTTTGTATATTTTTATGAATACTAAGTCATGCTATGTCAATATGGCCTCTTCATATCATCTCTGTGCAGAGTAAACCATTTATCCATTAAGTGACAAACAATTACTCTGAAACTCAAATAATCGCCTTGTTTTCTAGCAGAAATGCCCCAAATTCATACATTGCAGCAGTTTTTCTTTGTCTTATATGAGAGCAAACTGTATATTTTGGGGTTTGTCCAACAAGAAAAGCTATTTGGAGATTTCCCCTTGTGCTTTTAGGAAACTGATATTTTATAGACCAAACAACTGAGAGAATAATTTCCAGATTATCCAGTAATTATTAAGTATTATAGAAGCGTCTTATTTTTTTCCTAAATCACCAGTAATTAGTAAGATTTGCTTACTGCCCTTTGTCACATTTTCTTTCTTTACACATAAAGAATCTCAACGACCTGTAATGAGGACGAGCCACCAGAAGAAAACCTCCTGTCATTTTGAAGCTCTGGCCAAAATTAGACTGAAGTTGTCACCTTGTAATGAGGATAAAGCTTCTCAATGACACTGGTGTGGCGGCAGAATCTCCTCCATCTCAGCATGAGCAGATATTTGATCTGAGCCAATTGATATGACCTGTCAGTATAGAACTGTAGACAAATGTACAAAAAGAATATCGGTTTAAAAGACTCTCATTTCCATTGTGTTGTGCTGCATGTGAAGCCTTTTTTATGATCTTGTGTTGTCTGGAGGGTTGGTACTGTCCTCACCTGGTGCAGCAGAGGAGGCAGACTGTCAGGAGTGTACTCTAAACTCAAGCAACTATCCAGCTCTCTCTGCATGACGTCAGCCTGAGACTGAATTGGCAAAGCTTCACTCACCTGCAGCCAGGAGGATAGAGGAGTAAAACAAAAAGCCAAATCAACTTCTTTAAAGTTACCATTACACTTTATCCTGAGGCTCTGATGTTTTTAATGACCTAGAAATTGACAAATCAATTTTCTGTAGCCCTTTGACTGTCGTTGTTAAAATAAAATATAAATGTTCAGCCTCACCTGAAGCGCTCTCTTCAGCACTTGTTCCCTCTCCACACGGAAGAAGGAAATATCCTTCGGAGGGAGAACAGAACTGAAACAAACCTAGAAATTAATTTTGAAAAAGCTCTTGCCCAAACAGCAAAAAAAAAAAAAAGAAATCAAGTTGACATTGCCAGTTGTAATATATATAGTATATATATATAGTTAAGACAGTCTGAACCAAAGTGTTTGACCAACCAAAGTGTTTGACCAACCAACAAACACATTCCCATCCTAAAAAGTTTGTTGACTGAGAATAAGAATTTGCAAAATAACACTAATAACAACTGGTGCCTTTTGAAAATCTGTAAAATATTCCACATTTAATTGTAATTATTGTTTGTAAATCATGTTTTCATAGAGAATAAATCTTCTGGCTTTAAGTTCCATCTATTTGGCAATCTAGATCATTTAAAATAGACACTTAAGCCCCACTTCAAACATAATTTAAGACATATAAAAATAATCTACTTAGAATAATAATTTGTCTGATATTTTTTTGCAAAATAACAAGAATACACTTGTGTAAATTGCATACTGGACAGTTGGCTTCTAGACTAGTTGTGAGTCACAAACAAATCTGATTTAAAGTGAGTCTTCTAGTGTCAAACTGCACAGTGACAAACATCCAACTGAAGTAAAACATATACATTATTGAGTGGAGGGGGACTTCAATCTAGAGAGTTTAATGTTCAACTGTTATCTGACACAGAACATGAAATAATCATAACAGTGAGCAAAGCTTCCACACCTGTAGCATTTGGAGAGCCCTTTTCTTTGGTGAAATCCATTCTCTTCAATTTCCACCCTGAGTGCTGAGAGTTGATGCGACAGCTCTGCCTCCATCTGCTCCACTTTAACAGAGGAGGGAACTCTGTACACGTCACACATGGCAGACCTTTTCTCTCGGTTCAGGAGGAACACATTTAGTAACTGGGAAATCCAAACATTAAAAAATAAATAAAATACACCTCCTTAAGTCCTGCCAAATCTCTGCCTCCACACACTTACTTGTTGTGGTGTATCCATGGAGACCAACCATGCAGCCCAGGCTTCCTCTCCCATTTCCTGTCCTTCATATGGACCCAGACAGTGACTGCATTTGATCTGTAGAGGGCTCTAACGTTACACTCGAGTCCTCCTTTGTTAGAATATGCCAATTCTTTTGGGCTTTATGGATACTACCACTTCAACTGTGATTTGCAATATACAGCACAGCATGTAAATATGAGATTATACACAGCCAACCAATTGTTGAGCAGCACATACCTCAAGCAATCATGCATTCAGAAACCATGACTTAATCCCAGAGGATCCATTCTTCTTGGATACAGTGTGTGATTGGTTCTTAGTTTATGATGTGATTATCCAATAGGAAATCACCTCGGCGGTGACTGCAGAGTCAATTCTGCAGCTGTGCAATTCCTCTAGAGAAAGAAATAAAATAAAAAAGGAATATAAAAAAAATAAACTTCAGGTTTTCAGTGGTTCTTTAAGCTTTATTTACATGCACCATCTCTGATACAACCAAGATAGGAATTGGAATTACAACTGGCAATGTCAACTTGATTTCTTTTTTTCTTTTTTTGTAGGAGCAATAGGAAGAAATGGTGTTTGAATATTGGCAGTGAGTGTTACTCAAAATGAATGTAGAAAAAACAAGTCAGTATCTTGTATTTTTAAAACAAAATCATCCTCGTGAAGCTACCAAAATCATATTTGGAAGCACAGTTATAGAATAGATTTTTGTAAAATCAAAAATTAAGCAAATGGGATTCAATTCATGTCAGTTCAGTTCAATGTCAACAACGCTAATGGAGGGCACTATTTCAGGCACCATTTGCCGTTCTTCGTCAGTCTGATCAATACCCGATTGAGGTGGTCAAAATGTCGAACAGACCTTTAAAACAAAAGTGCTTCTACACAGCTCTACCACAAGTCATATGGAAAAGCATAAAAATAAATAAGATTTCAATTTAACAAGAAGACAATTTCAGTGAAAATGGACAGTTTCCAGCTGATAAAAATGTAAACTAAAACTAAAAAAGTTCATCCTGCTGTTCCTACAAAAACTGTGCTGATGTTTATTTTTTTGCCCTTATAGCACTGGTTCCTAATATTTATACACTGTATATCCTCTTATTTCCACTTATTTAAATGCAGAAATATTTTGGCAATATTTAAAATACTGTGGTCGTTTCTTTCTGAAATGGCAAAAAAAATGGCTCTAATATACTACACGACCTCCTCTCACAGGGTTGGAAACGCTGTTTTGCCAAGCACCTGCTATAGTGCTGATAACCAAAGGGAGGCTACTAATGCTGCTCCATCTGCAGCCACTCCCTGCTATCTTCTTATTTATAGCACCAAGAACTCCTTCAAATTAACAAAATATTGTAGTCGAGTGCTGTGGAGTCTCTAAGGGTGGTTACTTTTAATCCAAATAGTTCTAAGTGTTTGCTAATGTAAATGGTGTCAACTAGAGCTAAATCATGTCACGGTCCTTTAATTCTGTCCTAAACTCTGTATACTGAGCAGTACTTCCAATATTGCAGTACGAGTGGGGGAGGAAGAGGAGGAGGAGGAAGGTGGAGATGGTGAAAAGGGTATCCGCAGCAGAAACACCATATTATCAAGACTTCAGTAATGCACCTCTTCAGAAGGAACAGAATTCACAGTAATGTCACTAAAATCACAGGGTAAAATTCGCTAAATAAAAATAAAACATTACATACAAAAAAACCACACAATGTAGACCAGTTCACATCTTGATAACATATTAACCTCTACAGATTGATATTTGGTGCGTGATTCTGTGCATCAATGGAAAAAAACAAACAAAAAAAAAGTTTTTCATTAACACTTGTTTTTAAATCTTTTAGTCCATTTAGGCTACGTCTCTCAAAGAAACTGTAGAAAATAAAACAACATAAAAAAAGCTTGTCAAGTATCCTCCACTGGAACGTAATTATGTAACATTCTCTGCAGCTTTTTTCTGTAAACAGGCTGTCACTCTCAACAGGCTGACAGCTGGTTTGGCAAAAACGTTGGTTTTTAGGTATGAAAGGGTGTGAAAGAGGAGAGAAAGCAGGGTGAAAACATAATTCATCGTCAGTTTCATGTATCACTTTGTGATACTGTATGAGTGATTCCCTGAGACTAACACGAGTTGATGCTTTTTATATAGTTTTAACAAAATGTCCTGTACTTCAATTCCAGTCAATACTGTTGTTCACACCGCCCAGGCATTGATCTTTTTAAAGACGTTTTTTTCTCCTCTGTGAAGACACCATAGTGTGTCTCAGACACTTAGAATACAGTACCAAACTTAATGCCTCACATTAAAAATAATGGGGGAAAAAATACTACATGAATACACTTTTACATACTTTTCCTCTAGTTGCACCACGAACCCCAATTACATTTCCCCCCAAACTTCTTTTTTTTTTAAGCCATGCTGAGTTCCGACAGAGCTTCTCAGCTTGGGACCCAGCTGTGAGGGGAGGTCTGTTTTGAGCTGGAGAAGCTTCCTGAATTCCTATTGCCGTTCTGGGCAGAGGTGAGGCAAGAGTCGAAGCTAAGGTCCAGGCAATCTGCTTCCATCAGTTCATTGCGGATGATGGAGTCCATGTCACACTCAAGACTGCCGTTGAACACATCCAGGTCCAGATCGGCAGGAAAGCGGTCCTGGCCAGACAAACCAGAGCCGAGCTGCATAGAGGCGTTCTTGCTGGGAGACTTCAGGTGCGGCTGCTTGGTGTCGTTGTGGC